TTGAACCGTAAATGTGGAAAAGTGGGCTCGATGGGTCTGTAATGGCAACATGAATTAGCTTAAATGCTTTAACTGATGAGTGTTTTTATTGGAGTGGAGTTAAAGAAGAAATTATGTACTTTTTACCAAGCTATTAATCATTTATATGGAGAAAATACCAATGGTTGCTCTATTGTAAATACACTTATTTTCTCTCAAATTGTTTTTACTTAATGTTATAAGTTATAAAGCCTTTCATAGCAACTGTCAAACTCAAAAGTCAAAAGCTAATGATTAAAGCTTTCTCTGCCGCTGTAGCACCTACTGACCTTGATCTCTGAACCAGCAAAGTTTTTCTTCTTCGTTTTCTATGCCTTTTTTGTGAATGAACACCTTCTGACAAGTTTTGGAAGTCCTACCAAATTGTATAACATTATTGGGGCGGTAATTATGCAAATTAAGTTTCTTGGGAACTCACGCTCACTTACTAAGGTGGACTGCAGATTTACAGTTCAGATTTACAAGAATCATTTAAACAATATTTTTTTTATTCTCGATGTACATTTGTCCTACTTTTTCTGCCACCATGGATTTCAACAAATGTGTCAAATAAGATTTAACAAATATTTTTCTGTAAATAAACGTAAATGGAAAATTGCTTCTATGTAACACCAAATATAGTAATTTGGTGAAAGACTAGGCTTGGATAACAGCTAACTGATTATGCAAATCTGCTACGAGTTTGGAGCACTTGTCAAATTTGTTAATACCTAAGAGAAGATAAAAAATAGGAGAAAAATCATGGGTGCAGGCGTCGGTTGTGCAAATGTTTCTTGCATGAGGCCCAGTGATCTTACAACATAATCCAGGAGTCACCTTCTCCCAGTCAAAATCAAGGGAATGAAGTAAACTGAATTTAAGTGAATTAAAGTGTGGTGAGAAGGGACAACAGAAGAATTTGGTGAGAAGATTTGGTATTTTTTTCAGACCTGCTATACATATCTTCAAAATGACTGAAGAACAACAGGAAGTTGAAGACCCACTGCTTGCCTCTTATTGGCAGAAGAAACCCCAACTGAAAACTAGTGATGAAAACAGTCTAAGAGAAAACTTTTGCATATTTATGACCAGCAGTTACCAAACATTTTGTAGCCGTGCACCCCCATCTGTGTCCTAACCGGGTGGATGTACCCCCAATCCCAATCGTCCAATGACAACAGAGAGAACTTTGGTAGAGATGCATAGAGTAACAATAACATGGAGAGGTGCTGCCTACCGAGACCTGCATCCCCTGTCGCCTGTTAACCGCATAATCACCCATTTCTCTGTTCTTGTCTGAGTAGTAGCAAAAACTGCATTTTTGAAATAAATTGCACCCATGTAAATCATGCAATCCGATGAAAAGTTTTAAAGCTCTGTTCATGAGCATAGTCGAAAAATTGCATCTACCTCAAATTGTCCTAACATCAGAAGGGCATGATATTCGCATCAGTGTAGCCTGTGTTACGGTTCTGAGACACTGCACCATGGGCAGCACAGTTTGTTTAAAGTAGAGGCCACAGACAAACTGTTTACTACAATGTGTAGAAAGATAACTTCCTCTTCTAACCAAATTTTTTCTGTAAGCAGAATGTTATTTATTTACTAGAGTTACTNTTTGTTTAAAGTAGAGGCCACAGACAAACTGTTTAAAATGAAGCATAGAAAAAAAACTCCCTCTAATTAAGCAATTTTTTCTGTAAGCAGAATGTTATTTATTTACTAGAGTTACTGGTTGAATAAATTCTTTACAAAGGAAATGTTTATTTACACCTCTTTATTGTGTGAGGGGGAAAATTATCGATAAAATTGTCAGACCGCCATTACATTTTTCATGTTTTGCATGAATGGGGGTGCACCCCACTTTGTAAATCCTCGCTTTACATTATCTGGTGAAGTCTAATCAACCTATCCAGTACAGAACCAAACATTGATTTAGCATCTAGTGATTATCTCAATCTGAACCTGATCCCAAACTTTTAACAAGTGATGTATAAACATTGCCAAAACATTCAATTTATCTAAAAAATACCTTATGGAGCCCAAAGGGAGATTTTTTTTTGTCGCAATTCATATATATATATATATGTATATGTATATATATATATATATCTATATTTGCTTGTCTAATGACCATCGAGGTACACTACTTTTCAAGGTGCATTGTGGGAAATTTTGAGTCCACTACCTTTTCTTTTCACCCACCAGACATTTGGACACGGGTATAAAATGGTGTAACCCTATATAGTGCTCTAAGTAGGGGTTTGGGCGGATGTTCGGACACAGCCACTGTTGTTGTCTTCTTAAAAGCATGCTCAGGTTTGAACCTTTTATAAAGAATTCTTTATGAAATCAGCTGCAGAAATTCCAGATGAGTTCTCAGAATCAGACTTTCATTTCAGTTTGTTGAGCTTCTTTAGGTTATTTGCTCTGACGTTGTTACCCCGGCAGACAATGTCAGGGGAGATCAAAATTTCCACAACACAATTATAGAGGATATGCAACATCTTGCTCCAAACGTTAAAGAGCCTAAACTTTATTAAAAAGTAGAATCTGCTCTATCCCTTCTTGCAGATGGCTTCCCAGTTGCATCTACAGACAATTCTGTTTCCCATGTGAATGCCAAAGTATGAAGTTTGGAACACCACAAAGCAGTCCACCAGCTTCCTGTACTCAGCTCCTTAGCCATCTTGGATGGACCCAATAACTGCAGAGACCTCCAAGTATTCCTGCGAAGTCGGAGGTGTACAGAGCAGAAAGGAATGGTGAGAGTACCGTCCCCTGTGGTGCTCCTGTGCTGCTTACTATCTGGTTAGACAGCTGACCCTTCAGTCTCACAAACTGTGGTCTGTTTGTCAGGAAGTCTTTGATCCAGCAGATTGTTGAGGTTTCAACCAGAGTCTCTTTGGAGGTGGTTAGTGTCTATGTCGTTGGAACCAAATGAATAGAAAAAAGAAAAATTCTGGTTTTTACTTGCACTATTTTTCACAAGCAAGAGTTAGGCTTCACTTTTAAAGTTAAAAAACTATTATAAATAAAATAATAAAAAGATCTGCTTTGGTTCACCTTTAGTCGTCTGTTTCATTCTCCATTTGATCAACGACGAGGAAACAAAGATTTCTATATGTAAATTGAATTATTATGAAGATGATTCCATACTTTCCTCACTTGTCTTTCTTCTAAAAATGAGGTGCAAACTACAGTGCAGCTTTTGTAAGATTAGGTGTATAAGTTAAAGCTATTTTCTAAATGTGCATTTGGATTTTCCAGAACCAAATCGTAAATGATGGCACAATCTCTTGCATTAAAGCTTACATATAACATATAATCATAAAAATGATTGGATATCAGGCTGGGTGATTGTGTTTGTGAGTGCATTCTTTTTGCAGTCTTCAGGTTTTAATAAGAAAACAATCACAGTGACTGCATGATCACAACATACACAGTCATCCCACCACAGGCGTGTTTTATGGGATTTATAATGATGTGCATGAATGTTGTTCATTAGTAGGCAGCGGAGTTAAAGGTGCAGAAGAATGTTAGATGGAAGTTTAATAATACTGATGGTGAAAACCACAGGCTCACATCTGCAGCTTAAAGACACCGATTAACCCGGTTTCACCTGTTTTTTGCAAAGTAAATACTGCTGGTCCTGTTTTAATTAGTCTGACTCAAGGCTACTCCATAAACAAGCAAGAATGGAACTCAAATCACAAAGTTTACCAGTGGACATCTGATTCAGATCCTTATTAAGAGATACTTAGGTGGACTAAACAACTTACCGTAAAATAGATGTTACAATTTTCAGCTTTATGGCTAAGATCTTGAATCTTCAGAGATCTTTTAAAGTCAAGGGCCACCTTAAGCAAAAACCTAAGGGTCATCTAATTATTATGAAAAGCAGAGCTCGGCTTTATTCCAATACTTTTGAAATTAAAAGCCAAGAGAAAGAAGAGGCATCCCAGCAAGACATTGGGGAGCACCTATAAGTCCTCGCCGTGACATCCTCATAGCACCTACCAAATAAAAGCTGCATAAACAGTGAACATACTGTGGGCCTTTGTTTCATTTTAAAGTGTGAATCATCTGTGATTTATAGCTATGTGGTGCCATTTTTATCTAAGTGTGGTGGTTTGCTTTTTTTGCATCACAATCAGCATTTTACTCAATTTAAAACTCAGCTGGAGTCTCTTCTTTTTGGAGTTTACAAAAATGTCCCCATATTTCTGCATGAGTTTTATTCTTATTTCCCAGAAAATACAACAAACATGCAACTTCAACTGCTCAAGTTTACATAGCACATCTGTGTGGCTCCAGGCTGCAGAGTATTCTGACTGTAAAGCTCTTTCAATGCATGAAGAGCACAGCAATTGGAACAAGATGTAACACAGGGGCGCAAAGAATTTAAGATGATGTTCTGGTACTGATTAAAGAGGAACCCTATTAATTCAGATGTCTTTGGCATTAAGTAATATTTATATAACTCATATGACAGATAAATAGTTGCAACCTTTACTGGCACTTAGTGGGAAATTCAGGTGAAATTGAAGGATTCACTTCAGATCACACCTCAGTAAAACATATAAAAATCAGTATTTAATATTAAGAGAGGGTTCATTAAGCTCAAATACTGTGCAGTTTTTAAACATGGCCCACTCAGCTTTAATAAATGTACAGTTATGTAGGATTACCTAAAAAAATAACATGTGCATACACATTTAGGGATAAATAAAGGACTTTGTTTATTCTAATTCTGTTGTTTTATTTTTGGGGAGGAAAGCTAAATAACAGTATCATCCAAGGATAAAAAATAAACATAAAAGATTTGCCATCCATACATCTTTTCTGATGATTACCTTAAACATTTTTTTTTTTTACGTTTTTCTCTGTTTAGACGATCTAACAGGATGAAACCATAAAGACTCTCCCTGGTCAGTTGATCGTCATTAAGAAATAAATGCAAAAAAAAAAAAAAAGGGAACAGTTTAGTCAAGAGGGAGAATTTTATTTATTTAAATATAAGCTTAAACAGGGACATATTTGCATAGTTTGGTGTATATCAAAGCACTTCTTTTGGCATATTTTTTTTGATTATTTGATTCCACCTAGTGGACATTACTAGTTACTGCTCTTTGCAAAGGTGGAGCCAAAAATGTTATTCTGAACACACAACACGGTGCTTTTTGTGCAACACATACACAGTTTAAAGTAACTAGTTTTATTCATCCTTTTAATTATATTTTTGATTTTACAGTAAACATATTTTCAGAGTAGAGCGTATAGATGAGGTGAACTCAACAGCACGATAGAACCAAGAAAATGGTCAAAATTATTGTATGTTTAAAAAAAAGTCCAATTTTAAACTGAAAGTCTAATTTGAATCTTGAGAGATCTGAAAATAATTCTATACGTTTAACTCCAGGTTGAGAATTAAACATCTGCAACCATCTTAAAACTAACACTTGACTTCACTGTCTGAAAAATGTAATAAATCCATTTAATTGTGGCTTCATTCAGTATAAAACACATTGGCTGTTTTACGTTTCTACAGTCTCCACAGGGTCACTGCAGCTCCTCTTCCTTTTCCCGTTGTTTCCATTATTGTGACACTCAACAACTTCATTGTCCTTTTGAAGAGCGAGAGGTGGCTTCTCTGGAAGGGTTTGTCCAGGCCCCAACACTTGTCTGACAGTCATGTTCACTCTTGAGTTTTGAATGTACTTAGAACACACGTCCCAGTCTTCCTCTGACACCGGCTCCAGCACACCCCCCATCTGCAGGGCCAAGACACAGCTGGGCTCTTCTAAAAGCGACGCACGCTGTGGTGGTGCTGGGAGAATCCGTGGGACGGCATGATACAGCAACCTGCTTGGCCCTGACATCACCATCACATCTCCGCTGTGCATAAACATAGCAGTGGGGGGATCTTGTCTGTGAGGTCCACCCAGCAGGAAGATAGCCGACTGTCCGAAACTGGAACAACAAAGCCTTGTTACTGAGGACACTCCAAGAATTCTGCAGCATTATCCCACTGAAACAGTTAACTGATATTTCTCTCACCTGAGGGACAGCAGAGGACGAGAATGATCGAGCTCTGACTCATCCACATGGATTCCCAGAGAAGAATCTGATCGGTAGTAGTTAAGGATGGCAGCCTCTGAGTTAAATCCGGGGAAGCCACAGGCAGCTGTTATTCGGAAGGAAAGCATGTGCAGATCAGCTGGGAACGGAGTATAACTGTTGGCAGAGTAGGTCTGGGAATGGAAAAACATTGAGAACATGTTATGAAAATGTAAGAAAAAAAATTTATTTCAATGCATCATTCCTGAAAGAAGAAAAATAACATAAAAACAATCATTTCTTAAAAGATATCACAATTTTATACAAATATTTGTTTCAATTTATGCTGTAAGATTTCTTTTTTTTTTTTTGGAAGATTAACTGGCTTATAAATGCCCTGTAATAAAATAAAGAAGTAATTTCAGACCTGATCAGACACAAAAATTATATTTGTATCTATAATTTAAATGTTTCCATGTGACTGTCTTCACCTAGCAAGCTCACCTTGGTGTCCCAGTTGTAATGGTATCCCAGCGTTACCCAGCGCAGCCTCTCCAGTAGAGTTTTTGGTTGCCTCTTTACAGAGAGGGGAGACCTGTGGATTGGATGCAGGTCACTACATGCTGGCTATAGAATGCCCCTTTTTTTTATGTCAGCCACTCTAACACACGGAAATGGCACCATCAGACATCATCTCTATGCAAAAAGAGATTATAAATAAAATAATGAATCTTCAAAACCTTTCACTTCTTTTTTTCATTACAAACCTATCTGCTGATTGGCAGTACAAGCACTTATTTAATGACACATTTATGCATGAAACTTCTACTTGTACCCTATGGCGTAACAACACAACAATGGGCCCGTAAGCAACATTATCTGGGTGGGCCCCATATGAAGTACAACACATGATAAAGGTTCAGGATAGGGCAAAGGTTCCATAAATCGGCCAAGAAGATACACTTATGCAATTCTCAGTAGTATATGATCACACCTCACACCCAAAAATAGTGACTGCGCACCACGAATGGAACCATTGGTGACAGCTTTAGTGTATTCTGCTGTAAAATGAGTCTTATCAGGCTCATCGGGCTACCTTGAGCTTCACAGCCCCCCTCCTCACCCACGCTCTCTCCATTCATCTCCTGGTCGCAATATTTACTCACTGTAGCAGTAACGCCCACCTCGCCCTCTTCGGCTCTTTGAAAGAACGTGTTTATTTTGTTACGTTTTTTCAGCTCTTCCAGCAGCTCTTCTTTCCTTTTTCTTTTCTGGAATCCGCTTAAGTGCCTCTTTTTGGTATCCATCGTTGCTAACACATTCTATGTAACGGATATGGTTTTAATCTACGCTTTGGATTACCCTAAATTCCAAATCGTAGTGTAAAAAATAAAATACTCTAATACATTGTTCTTTTATGATCTTTATTACGGTTTGAAACAGTTTATATGAGTATTTTTTTTTAACAAACCGTCTAATGAACTATACACAGTTATTAACATAGTAATTAAAAGTACCACTGTCTGCTTTGTTATCAGTGTCGTGTTTAAACGGCTCACCATCATGTTGAAATCTGGCATGTATTGGGGTATAAATAAGGTCCGGTGCGGTCAGTCAATTCAATATCAGGTGGGTTTAACGGGAATTTTTTGCACCATTACGTCTGCAAAGAGACGTCCTAGTCGACAATTGCATAGGGGGCCTACCAGGTGTCAGTGATGTGGCCCCTAAGCAACTGCTGTCTCTGCTTACTGATATTTACCCCATTGGTTGTACTCTCACTGTATATTTCATTCAATAATACTCAGAGCTTCTCTTACCGGATGGCTTCCACACTCCTGGCCCAGATGTCCTGCGTGTCACAGGGTGACATATGCATGTCCAGATTGCAAACGTTTGGTTTCTGAGGGTATGTCTTCAAACACTGCCTGACCCAGAAAGCCTGGGAGCCCCGAAGGAAAGGATTGGAGATGAAAATAAAGCCTAAAAAGAGAGAAGCGTTGAGTGGGTCATGTGCATTGTTTTGATTTAGATCTTCTGATTCCCTTTAGGGTAGAAATTAAAGAGAAGCTCCCCCAAACCATCCTTTCAGAACCACATACCTGGGTACCCCTGCAAGCCGAAAACTCTCCAGTCTCTGACGGGCTGTAAACCAACGCCTGCAGCCTCTTCATCACTTACAGCACCCGGATCCAGTTTCAATGGGACAATCTGTTAGTTTAAACACAACATATATATCGGTCAACATCAACGTTTCCCTTTATCTCCAGGTCTATAGTAACATATCTTATTATTTTTCTAGCTTTAATTCACATTTGAATCATTTTAGAGACCTTTCCTCCTGCTGTTGCTCCGCTGCCAAAGTCTGTCACTTCCCTGAGGTCTGGAGGAGGCTCCCTTCTTTTATAAAACTTAAACATTTTCTTAAAAACATCCTCTCCGCTTTCTGCGACCATGGAGGCCGCCATCTTGGCCATGACGTAGCACGCTGGCGGCGTGACCCACGTGTCCATAGACGTCAGAGGTCAGACTACCATCTCAAGGAAGCAAGATGGCGGCCCCGTCCAAGAAAGTGTTGGAGGTGTTTGTGTCTAAAATCCCCTGGACTGTAGCAACCAGTGAGTCCTCCTAGTTTTTAAGTTTTTATCGAGTTGCGGCGGTTTTTCTTTCTTTTTTTCTCTGAAATCTTAACTGGAAAAATGTTTTTAAAAATATATATGTGATGTAACGCACGTGAGGACAGGAAGGTCAGCTCAGCTTCTGATTGGCTAGTTTTAGTGCCTAAAGAGAATATATCCTTATTTATTTTCCCATTTTAACTGTATACATGTGTTATATTTATTTTATGTTTTAAATCAAGACGTTTGAGAAAGCGAGCTCAGTTTCAACCTCAAAGATAAGTCCACAATGGTTCCTGTAAGCTTTTTGATGAGGGTTAAATAACTGCTTTTAGTTAAAATTGTAAATACACGCCTAATTTCTGGAAGCATTTATGCAGATCTAGAAATATCTGCAAGGTTCTGATTACATCCATCACAGTTCTGAGCGTAGATTGGCCCCTTAAAAATATACCAAACAAATCTCTATAAAACTAAATTAAGTCAGATATTTATTCTTGATTGATGATTCTCTTATTTTTTTTATTGGTCTACCATGTCTTTATTAGTATATTGTTTACCTTTCCCTTACATTCGAGCTGTGACTTCAAACAATTTCATTTATTTTATGTTCTTACATTTTTGGTAATAATAGAAATCTTTATATTTATTGCATAGAGGGCTTTTATAAAAAAATAAAAATAAAAAAAAGTGATCCTTTATCTGTTTTCGTTTTGTGCCAATAATTGACTTTTTTAATAGAGCCTGATTTGTTAACACTGGATCATCAGATTTTCAAGCTATTATTTTGTTTGTAAGTGTAAGTGCTCCTTCTTAAAACTAGCTGACACCCTACAGTCAGCTCGGTTTAGGGAAAGCTGGAGTAAAATTCATGTTATTGTGAAATGTATCTAAATAAATTAATACAGATAAAGTAACATAAACATGCCAAAACATCTTTTAAAGATGGCTCTTCCTTTCCAGGTCTGAAATACTCCAGACTACAGTAGCATTTAGGATGAACTGGTTGACTTAATTATTATTTGTATTAAATAAATCTGTTCAACTTCAGGATATGAGAGGATACATTTATCTGTTCTGAATTCCTAACTGATCTGTTTATATTTCAGAGGAGATGAAGGAGTATTTCGGACAGTTCGGCACAGTAAAGAGGTGTCTCCTTCCATTTGTAAGTTTTTTTAAGCTGATAAGTGATTTGAAAAGATGAAGATGGAAAATATTTGTTCTTGTCATATTGAGCACGGTTTGTGTGGGGGGATTTTTGTCTCAATGTATACTCTGTGATGGATCAGGACAAAGAGACCGGCTTCCACAGAGGTTTCTGCTGGGTTGGATTCTCCACAGAGGAAGGACTGAACAATGCTCTGCAGAAGGACCCCCATATTCTGGAAGGAGCAAAGGTAAATGACAGAAACACATTTCTAGGTGGTCTGAACGGTTTCAGTTTTAAAAAGAAAAGGTCAGCTTACTAGATTTACTGATGATGTTCTTTTGTTCCAGCTTCAGGTTCAGAGGAACAGACGTCCCTTCGCAGGACAGAGGTCCAATAAAGACGGAGACTCTGATTGAAAATGTGGTTCTGCTGAGCCGATCAGACCAAACAGATTTTTTTTTTTGTTGTTGTTGTTGTCGGACTCCATTATTCCAGCTTCTTTGTATTTAAACAGCCAATTCAGACAAAAACGTGATCAATGTGTCTGGATCCCAACATCATAAAGGATTTTTTCTTTATCCAGTCTCACTGGAACTGAGCCACAACATTGTCAGTTTTATTTTAAGTTTTGTCCTCTAATAAATTCTGTATTTATTGTGAGAAATATTCCTCTCCCTTACATAGTGTCTGTTGTTTTCAAGCAATAAAAAGTGTTTATTGTTACCAATTTACTTGGTTTTTATAATGTTTATAATACATATGCATAAAATCATTTAGAATGTGCCCAGGGAATAAGATTAATTTGTCATTATGGCAGAGGCCTCTGACTGCTGCTTAGTTTTCTTTGCACCGGTTCCTCATTTTTCCCCTGCTTCCCTGGGAGGAGACTCGGGGAACGGCCTTGAAAAAGCTGGAGGGAAGTCTCTCTGCTGGTGTGGAATATTCCCAAGCAGAGCTGAAGGAGGTGTCAGAGTAGAGGGAAGTGTCTCCTCAGACTGCTGCCCACTGCGACCTGGTCCCACATGAGTGGAAGCTAACAACAATTTATTAAAGCCACATATTTCTTTATAGCGTCCAAAAAGGTTCTGGCTAGATATTTAAAAACCCTTTACAGAATTTGCAAAAATTGATCTGCATTTCGGTTTTTCCTTAAACAGTATTTTGTGGATGGTTTATACATTCAGATCATTGAGAAGCAGGCCCTGCTCAACACCTGCTATTCATGAGGATAATATGTTAAAGTACCTTTTGTATTTAATATTCTTTGCATGAAGTATCAATCTTTTTTTAAAGACATTTTGAATAAATGTAATTTAAATTTTTATGGAAATAGCAGGAGGATCATATTTTTTATTTCAACTTATTTTACAAGAAAAAAAATATAGATATATTTGTGTTGCAATACTTTATTTTCAGCAAAGTAAGTAAATTATTGGTATAGCACATTTTCACAAGAAAAATGCTTTAAGTGAATGCAGCACATTTTAGCATGATGCTATTCAAATATTTTATACAATATTTTGAAAAATTAATATTGAAACTTTTTCTAATTCAGAAGAATGTAGTACTCAGGTTTTAATTTCTTAAATATAAAAATGAAATGTGTGTTTCACCCCAAAAATGGTATTCCTGTCAAAATATGTGTACTTTGCTGTACTTTTAAAAAATTGATTTATTTTTACTTCAAAAGAATCTAGCATTTTATTGTTCTGTTTTTAACTGAAATCAATAGTGGTACAAATTTTTAAAGAAAACAACAACCTGCCGAGGAAGTAGTAAAATAGTATCTTAAATGGGAAGGATAATATTTTATTTTGCGTTGAAAAAGAAATAAATTCTAATACGACATAATACGTTTCATTATTCTTAACAGTTTGACGGGGAAGACCGCCTTCACATTGCATTATGAATTTTTTTTTTTTTTATTAAAGCAAATAGTGCATGCCTCTTAAACCCTTTGCTCATCATTTGAATGCATTCCGATTTCCCAGATTTACGTGAACGCAGCACGACGCACCAACGCTTTCCTTTGACCGTGACGCAAATGAAGGCGTCACTAAGGTCACTAGAAGAGTAGATTAAATATAATATTTACCAAATATGAAGGCATAGTATATTTCTTTTAGATCCAATATACATTATAAATACATTTCTATTGTGTGAGTCTCAGACAGGCTTCCGTGTGGAATATAAACTTTTGGTTATATTTCCCTTTGGAACTACATTACCCAGAATTCCTCGGTCATGTTTCGAAAACCCGGAGAAGGGGTCACAAATCAAACCGGTGAGTGAAGGAGAGTGATGTGCTGGTGGTGTTTTATTTTTGAATAAAGTGAAGATATTTTAACTGAAGGCAGCTTGCTCAGACTCACCAAACAGTGGTTGCATAAGTTAAATGTTCGAG